AAAATTCATAAAATTAGGGCACTCCAACCAATTAGATCCCCGAATTAGCATATGAAATGGGAACTTGCTTCAAAAGTTTCAACTTATCAGCTTCCTAGGTTATTGCGTTGAAAGTGGACGATGAAACATACACACACGCACAGAGAAAATCTCCTGTCAATATGCGTTACTGCATTTGCACAAAAGCGCATAAAAATGGAGACACTTACGGATCTGCTTTAAGAATTTCAAGCTCATCTTCTTGTTCGATGAGCGACATTTCGGAATCCAGATATGAGCCGTAATCGCCAATGCTGCCTTCATATTTATACACTTGTAGTGCAGCACTACTTGGCTGTAATTAAGCTGCACTTATGATACTTCAAAGACTGCCGGTAAAGGTGTTAGGTGACAAATCAAAAGTATCCGTGAGACCAGTGAACGGAAATTAATCAGTTTAATCAATTACTAGGTCCGTTACTATTGAGTCCGCTCCTGCAGACATTATGGGGGTCCCGTATTGGCAATATTCCTGGGAATGCTTTCCTATGCCAGGGGTCTTTTCGATCCTAATTTGCATGTATCCTGGCGACAAAAACTGGCACTTTCACGTACATGTGCCACCTCTTCGGGAACGGATCAAACGACTGTTTACTTCCTTACAAGTAACACACTAACATGCAACAACCACCAAGATAAGAAAGCATTCTTCCCACTGGATTTTTCTTTCTCGCATGGCTGTAATGACACAAGACTCTGCTCATCCAAAGGGCGGTCTGACTGCTTTTGTACGGCCATGAATACTCCAAGCATCCTTCGGTCTATGAATTCTTTCATCACAGTGGCATACGTCTTATTTCTACTATAATCTTCTTTCGCATCCACAGGTTACTGCCTCCAGCACACCGGTACTTAACAGGTGCGCACAATCTTTGGGTTTGATATCTTGAAGGTATCGAAGGCGCTTATGCTCCCCAACAGCTTTTTTGCAAAGGACGTCTGGCGCAAGATTACAATGCGTATTTACTTCTTCACTAAAACAAATGTAATTCCCAGTTCTTCCAGTTAAACTGTCTGTAATCTGGTTATATCAGCCCTTTGGTATCACTTTTGCTTTCGATTCATTATTTTTCAGGCCAATTTCTTTACTTCGTGCCTTATGACCCTGCGGGGTCCCACTTATGCCTCGAAAGCTGCAAATGATGATGGTTGTGCTATTCCTGAGGTTTAGCTGCTCGTCACTGTTCAAAAAACTTTTTCAGTTCAGTTTGCAAAATTTCACTTCGAAACAAGTGGTTAAAAGCCTGTGCAATGGGATTCTTTGCTTCAGAATCCTTTCGGAGTATATGGGCTGGAGTGGAAAAAAACGTCCTGAAAGACCACTGCCGTTGTTGAGGGCTGGGTAACTTTTTAGTTTTTAGAATAAAAGTACGCACTGAAACAAACCTTATGCGGTGCTCGAAGTGTTCGGATTACATCGGGTAATTGCTCACCGATCGACTGATAGAGTAAGAAATTATGCATAACTGGCCGACTTGGTTCCAAATGTGAGCAGGATGTTGTAGCGAAAGGGTCCGAATCATCCACATACTGGATCCGGCAGCAAAAGATGTCTGTCATCACCATTTCGGAAGAATACCCAGGAAATTAGTCCGATTCTACACTGAATTCCAGCTTCTACAGGTCGTCCGGACGGATAAAGCTTCGGAAAATTTGTTCTCAGCAGAAAACTCTGGATGTCGTAGAATGCACCCTAACCAATCAGCGCCCGAAACATTCCTTGGTGATTCATCAATGCCTGAAAAAATATGTACACTGATGCAAAAGTTAATGTAAGTTTGAGACAAAACGATCGCATAATAATCGCATATACTAAGGATGATATTTTTTTTCTCAGGCCTGAAAGAAAATAAAACGAGGCTTTTCGAAATGCACTTCATAAAATTCCCTCGGGAACACGATATCAACTATCAAGCACGCATACGTCTCACTTGCGGACATGTGAAAATTTTGGCGGAAAAATCGCCAACTCAAGAATGAGGAAAGCTAGAAAGCTGGAATTTTAAAGGAATGTTCCCCTTACTCATGTACGACCAAAAGGCTACAAATTCAGCAATTTAAAGCCCCTCGTGTCTCACGTGAAAGTTTTAGCGGTCTT